TAAAGAATACTGTGATAATTCATATAATCCACGATATAGAGCAAAGCCAGGATATAACTCAAGTACAGTAATCCAGCCTCCTACAACCCAAACAAAAAAAAAAAAAAAATCTCAGAGTCTTTTAGTTCTTGTTTGTTCAAACAATCTTGAAGTATATCTTCAAACACTTGTGAAAGAAAGTGATTTTGTCTTTCAATTTCTTCAACTTACTTGGGAATGACTTATCTTCAAGCAATGTCTGGAAGAGAAAGCCACCTAATAGAGCTGTCCCAAAGACGCACATGTATGCAGTCACTATAATCATCAGAAAGCAACAGTTAAGAGAAACAAGTCAATCTAGTCTCTAAAACAAATAACAATTTGCCTAGTAGCATAAGTAAATCAAAACCTGAAGCAGTCTTCACATTTGTGAACACTGAAGCTATTAGGAAGGCCAGGGAGATTTGCAGATTTATGTAGAGAAGGTAAAACACAAACTGGATCCTGTAGTCATTAAGTGTGAAGAATTTCAACCCTGGAATGAAGTAAAACTAAAGTAATAAGCATCTTGAAGGATGATGATGATGATGATGATGAATAAAAAAGTTGATTAATACCTATAACTGAGCCAAAGATCACAAAGCATAACATGTGCAGCAAAGATATGGCAAGAAAATAAGCATAGGATATCATCCAATAAGGTCCATCACCAAGCCCATGCATTTTCATCATGACTCTGAGCTTCTGCTGTTTCTCATAAACCAATGCTTCCAATATCATCTACATAAGAAAGTAGATGTTAATACACGATTGGTCCATCACCAGTCATTGATTTTAACTAGAGTTAGGATCAAGTTAGTGTAAATGTTACACAGTTTTCAACCACTCATTTCAAATTTCATCAATTAATGTAACACTTAAATTTCCAAAACAACCCCTTTAATTTTAAAACATGTGACTGAAAATTAGTGTAAGAGTTTCTTAGACTTAAACCAGTGTAAGTTGATCCCTAATCTTTTAATTCTAATGATGATTGCCTATTATTATAGCCTCCATGATATAACAAAAATTTCACAGCAGGCATGTCTGAAAAAATTATGAGCACTACCACAAAGCCAAATACAAATGAATAAGTACCTACATACTTACAGGGAATGGTTGTAAAATAATCCAGGTAAAGAAGAGTGGTCCAAGAAGGGATGACAAATCCAGTTTGAATTTAGTTCCAGGTTTTGGCATTTCTTTGACAAACTCAAAGAGCATTTTTGTACCAGCACCTCTCAAAAACTGAAGGTAGGCATTGGAAACCTGTAAAAATGTAAATCCAATATCAGTAATTATCAAGTTTATGATCATCTCAGCAAATTGGTAGATTCAAATCAAGAAAAAAGTCTTTCTAGTTAATTTTTCCTGTCATGGAAAGTTCATCTTTTCATTTTTCCGATAGGTAAGTGTATATGAATCACCTTCTTAGCTAAACTGAAAATGTAGAATTTTTGAAGTTCAATGCTTTACAATAGCAAAGAAAAATTATTTGGAAGGTCCAACTTACAAATCCAAAGTACCTACCAAATTTACTGATCGTGGAACTCGCATCAATGCCATCTGAATACCAGGAGTATAATTTTTATAGGTAGAATTGTACCAGATGGTGACATTAAAATTATTCCCATCTGAGTTTAAGAAATCATAGGCTGTGGAAAGTATTAAAATTATCAGCATTGAGCTCCAAAATACAATATTTTCTTTATCAGATCACAGAATTAAGTTAAAAAGTTTCAACTAGACCAACCTGCAACGATCTCATTTATCTCCCGCTGTGGATTCCCTTCCCTGTAACCTTTATACAGCTCATCATTCACCTCAGCAGAACTATTGCGCCACAAATTTATACCCTGAACACATTGCACCTCTACATTCAAGATGAAAAAATGAAAAGGACTTAAAAAGTGCCTCAAATTTAATTTCAAAGGAACAAGAAACCAAAAGAGAGTGATGCATGCAGAAGCAAAGCAAGAGAGTTTGAACTGTGTGACGCCGTCATAAATGCAGAACCATTGCCCCAACATTAGACAAATGTGAAATTTAAGCATTGTAACACAGACCTTCTAGTCGAATACATCAAACTTAAAAAGAACTCTAACATAGGAATAATTCAAATTGACTTGCTGACTATAAAAATGGAGTTTGGAAGATCAGGCTAGAAGAAATTCAACCAAAAACATTAGTTAAACAAAGATCAAGCACATCAGACAGAAGCATTTTGGTGCATTTGCTCCCATCCATTCACAAGAAGATACCAGCAACACCTTTAAAAAAGTAAGGATTCCTCTGGCAAAATAGATATAAGGTTTAAGAACTTATACCTTGATCCTTTGCAAATGATGATTGATTAACAATAACCGAAAATGTTGAGTTCAACATGCACTGACTTTGAAGGTTATAGATGGGAAGATTGGAAAGGAAAGCAGGCTCAATATAATTGTTTGATTCAGGATATGTTGCTGTGCCCTGAAACATAATGAGAAGCAAGATTAGAAGCAAAACCGATAAAATTTGTTAAGTGGGATCCCATGTTGAAACTTTAAGTAACATGCGTGCTTGAATTTACTATTAACAGAAAATAATAGAGAGATGAAAATGGGGACAAAAAGCATTAAAATGAAATAACTTACCAAGACATTGCTGGCTAAACTGCTGCTAAGATCAGAGGAATTGATGGTGAAGCTAGTGAACATATTCACCGTCAAAACTATAAAACAAGATGAATAATATTAACTATGGTTTCACCTTCCTATTTGGACGGCCACCAAATTTAAAGCCAAAAATGAACATGGAAACAGAGAGCGAACTAAGCATACCGTTTCCAAGTGATTGATTATTCCCAGTGAACAATGAAGTTGCTGGACAAGATCCTGTTGTCCTGCATGACTCATTAGGCAAGTCTCTTGATGCAAATGAATTGGCACTCACTGCACGATACTCAGGAGCCGGTATCTGTAACAGTGGGGGCCATTCAGGTGGACTAGGAATTGGACAACTTGCGACTTGATCTAGCGAAGAGTACTCAATCCCACAGACTTTCTCACACTGACCATCTCCATTTGTATCAATACAAGTACAACCACACTGGAATTTTGGTTTATCTAGTTCAGTGTCAATCAGTGTTTGCATGACAACAAATAGTACACAGAGTATAATGGGGAAGCAAATGAGCCGAATGTTTGCCTTCTTGTTCCTTTTCTGTAGAAAGAAAAGATAACTATAAGCTTAAAACCTCTTCTTCTTCTTCTTTTTTGCTTTGTTGTTTCACCAAAATCCCAGAAATAAATTTTGATTTTGAAGTGTTTGCTTCAAAATAATAAGAAACAAATTACACAGATTGCAGGGTAAATAAGAACAAGAATCCAATAGCAAAAATTTTACTCAAACATGAATCATGAAGATTCATAATTAATTAACAAAAACCATAACAATATATCAAAATCTTCCTTTAAGAGGCAAATCAATATTAAAATGAAAATAGGAGCACAAAAAGAAGGAAGAACAAAATCCAGAGAGGACACGGTCAGATTAATGAACTAAAAAATCAATCTATCACTGTTAATGCTACAGAATTCTAGTAATCACTTGGCTCAGACATCACTGACAAATATTGGCCAAAATGTTGATGATCAACCTCAATAAACAAATTAGAAAATAAAAATCAATACTTATGCAACAAGATAAATCCATCTTCAAAAAAAAAAGGAAGTAAAAACATTAGAGAATAATGTTTTGTAGTCCTGCACTGAACTGCAGCATCATGGACTCACAACAAATCTTACTCATCCAAGCACCTAGATTTTGCGATCTGATGTAGTACAAATTACAAAAGCTATTTCTATAAACATTATAATAGACTCTCAATTATAAGGAAACAAAAGTAGGAGAGGTTGCTTGTCCATTGGGTATGTAGATAATTAAGGCCAATAAGGTCTAATACATAATCCTCGGACACCTTGAATCCAAAACACTAAACCCATGGATCCTTCACATACATATGTAATACTTAGCCCAAAGCCTTGCAAAAAAGTATAAGTTCATGAATTCCTTCATGTATGCAATGTATACTTCTTACTTGGCCAT